GGGGTCTATTAACAATGTAGACTGAGAGAAAGAAAGATATTAAAAGCTTTATCTACCAGGAGGAAAATCCTAAAATGTTTTCTGAAAGCAGTTCATAGCCAGCAGAGGTTATGGAGTAACTGGAGTGACATGATCCTTTTTTTCTTCAAATCTTGGGTAGAATTTGAGCAGCTGCATCCTGAATAAGTTGAAATCTGTATCTTGTGAGGCACACAACCAACTCCAGTGATAACAAATAAATGCCACCAACCAGCAGCACAGCTTCTCTGGATGGTATTCTTTATTTAAGAGCATTTTTTTTTTCAGAAAAAATACCCTTCCATCAAGCTTTTCAATTTACATTTTCATATTTGACATCTGACATTTTTATGTATCATTTTTTATTCATTTTCAAATAATCACACTCCTCAAAAGTCCAGGGAACGTTCGACCATCGCAGTAGAACACAAAGTCATTTAAACTTAGGAAGACTGACCCAGATCACCGAAGGACGAATCGGTTTCTGCTGCTCTGGTGCAAATGAAAGTGATAACAGGGAGAAGCAACAAGATAGGCGCCCATGAAGGGCAGGATTTTATAGGTTTTGGGCTACAGGTGTTTTTTCTGCTAGTGTTCTTGTAGCTACTGGTAGTATGAGATGGTACATGCAGTTCATTCAGGTCGCACAGGTACTCTAGCTTTTCCAGGATGGCACATTCATACGTGCCGTTGCAAGAGGTTCAGCTGTGTCTCCCAGCACAGTTTCAAGAGTTTCGAAGAAATATTACATGAGATGAGCTGGACAAGGCCGTAGAAGGGCACCAGCAAGCAGCTCCTTTATGTGAGGGGAAACAGGAGGAGCACTGACGGAGGCCTACAACATGATAAATGGTTAAAGGACTAGTTCTCATATACTGCTTTTCTACTCTGAGTACTCAAAGCGCTTTAGACAACTGCCTCATTCACCCATTTAACATTCACACACATTCATACTACAATGGATGCATCACATGGGGTCACCCAATGATATTTGGCATGCAGACTGGAGCAGACAGGGATTAAACCACCAACCTTCCAGTTAGTAGGTGACCTGCTCTACGCTACAGCCACCCCAACATGACCTCCACTCGGCTATTCATGTCCATCTTTCTGACTAAACGGCTAGAATCAGTTTAGTCGGACTGCTCACACAGCCATGTATCATCCAGCTCGATTGGCATTCGCTAGAGAACACCAGACCTGGCAGGTGTGCAACATGGAACCCATTCTCTTCACAGGTGAGGGCAGGTGCACAGTGAGAATATGTGACAGAGACGTGAAAGAGTCTAGCGATGCTGTGCCGAACGTTATACCGCCTGCAACATTCACCCTAAAGATTCTATGCAGTCATAATACGTCAGTGTAGGTTTTATGTTGAAAATGCACTTGCAAGTTTAAGTTAAATGTTTGTTTTTTAATACACTCTTTGTGGATTATTCTCCCACACCTGTTTAGTACATCATGGAGCTTTGCTCTGTATCACACATTTTGTCTTGCTGCTTGAGTCTATAGTGTATCTTGTTCAATCAAAGATGGGAAGGAAAAATGCTGCTGTTTTCTGTTCGCGTCTTTGCAGGAACCCAGATAATTCACCATGATACTGGAACTCTAATGAATTGAATCACACTCCAACAGACAGGAAACTTTGAGTGCGTTTTGCCATTTTCATAGACCCTGGGGAAGCTATAACTCTGTTGTCTGGAAGTTAGTCTCATCCTGCTGCTTTTGTTTTCCTTCCATCTGCTAAATCCAAGGTGATAAATGAGACAAAAAGAAGCCACCATTTTATAGACAATGACATTTTAAATCATAGTTACACTGACAGAATGACACACAAGGGGCATCCTGACAGAGATCAATATGTCAGTATTTTCAACCTTTCACTTTCAGCTCTTGGAGATTTTTTCTGTAGAGCTGTTCTCATCTTCGCAACCCTCAATTTTCCTTTCCGTATCTCATAGATAACTTATGAAATATCTCAGTATGACAACAGATGCATTGACGCACTCTGTTCGCCTGCTGTTAGTGTGTGCCTGCCTGGGCTTAGAGCCACTGGAAATGGCCACGATGCCACTGAACTAGGGCACTGTCAACTTCCCACTGGGTGCTTTCTAGGTTAGATCAATATGTGCTTCATAAAGCCCATATTGACCGGGAGGATTCAGACGTCTGAGAGAAGAAACACAAGAAAATGAAAAAGAAACGCAGATGGTAAGAATCCCCCCACCCCCGCAGCAAAAAAGTCTGCTGTAGATGGAAGAAAATGGTTTAGCTTTAGCCACAGGAAGGCAAGTTTATACCACTGAGCTGCGCCAACAGAAACATGATTTTGCCAGTTTGCACCCATATCAGACAAATGCCTCACTTAATGTTGAAGCCAGGAGGAGCGCAGCATGTGTGCTGTTTTCACAAATGACGAGGTGAGGAGTGAAGCTCTGATCTTTCCTTCGTCTTTCTCTTTACAACCTGCTGAATGCAGCTGTTTGCTGCCCATTGGCAGCCAGGTCATTTTTCATGTTTCAGATGTAGGTTTTATTTATACTGGCATTTTTTGGATGCAATGTCATTGTCCTATCTAGTTTAATCAGTAAATGATATGAGAGAATCAGGATCCGCTGGCTTTATTCTCTTTAGGACATCAAAAATCTAAACTGCTTTGGATGTCACTGCAACATTTCCTTTTCTCCAAGCCAAATTAATCTTATGTCACTCATTCAGCCACAGTGATATTATTCTGCGAACATGTAATGAAACCTATTTCAGCTTTCCGCTTTTTGGTACTGCTCCAATTTCTCCAGGTTTCACTCAAGATTTTCATTTCTCGCACACTGTTCCAAGTGATTCTGTTAGTGTGTCTATGGTCAGATTTTTCGAGTGGTTTCACCTTAAGATGTCTTCAGGTTTTATTTGCTGAAAGTGAGTGTAGAGCTTTTTGTGAGTCATTACTCTTAAAGTTTTTCCATCATTTCTCTCAAGCGAACCAAAACAGGTTTAAACCAGATTTCTGGTCTGCGTCTATCAAGCATAATTGTTATGGTTTGTAGGTTTTTGGGTTATTTTGAGTTTTCTGGCTGTTTCTGAGAATTTTTTGTCTGCTTTTCATTTTTACCTCTCATTGTCCTTGATTAGTTTTTTGCTGGTTCTTGTATCCCAGGTATTTCCACTCCCCCAATTAGTCCTTGTTGTGTTTATAGCATCAGTTTTCCTGGTGTCTGGCTCTCTGGTAATATCCCCTCCTCTGTATTTGTGATTGTATTTGTTGAGAATTTAAAATGTATGTTCTGGACTTTTTGTACTATTTGTGATTACTTCTTTCTGTGTAATAAAAGTTTGGTTTTGGTTTATTCATGTCAGTTTGTGAGTCACTCCCTTGCCATAGGGCCAAATGCCAGGCCAAATGTTTGACCTGGCAGAGTTTCATTCTGGATCCCCTTCTTGACACAGCCTCAATTTGTGTCTCCGTCCGGACTTCAACCAGCTTTCACAGTAATATGTTAAATAGTTCCATTAATTAAATGGTGTTCATAATTTTATTAAGACACATGCATGTCTTGAAAACAAAACAGTTTTTCAAAGCTTAAAATGATGGATTTAAATAAAGACAAAAGCTGTTGAGAATTGTGTCGGTAGCTTTATGTGCTTGTTTGACATGTTAATGGTGCTAATGGTTGGGGAAACTGAAAAGTCAACAGTTAATTCTTATTTTAATCATTTTGTGCAGACAATAAAGCAAGAAAGTTCTTGGTTTGAATCCAGACTGTTCTTCACTCTTCACCTGTTGTTATGTCAGTGGCCTCATGTTTGACACATTAATGAATAATCAAAAAGTAGATACAGCCATCATCTTGTCAAGCAGCTGAGGTTTTGTATTTGCTGTCAATTTCCACAACACTTTGCTCTTCGGCAGTGTTTGCACGCTAAAATACTTCAAGGTTTTTGGAAGAACTTTTCTACACTACTTTCCTATTTCAGTAAAAAAAAAACCCAAAAAACTTACTCCATTGATTTCCTGTTACTTTGTGACTAAAATAGTGCAGTATGCTAAGTCCCCTGTGTGTGCTGATCTGTTCTAGACAAGCAGGCAGTTGGAGGCAAGCTGTGGGCTGGGAACTGGGTAGAAGGAAGCCGACGGTGCATGAGTCTGTGAGCCTCCCATGACAGTCAGTCCCAGACGAGGGGGCCAAGTAAACAACGAGCGAGTGAGCGAGCAGAGCACAGAGCTGGGCCTTAAGCCGGGAGAGAGAAAATAGAGAGACAGGAGAGAGCTCAGGAATAGGATGACACAGCATGCAGAGGCTTCCGGAGAGGGTAATGAGTTTGGCCAGGTTCCAAAGAAATGCTGCACCTTCAAAAGGGAGGGAGAGATACTGGTGGATATTAAAAAAACAAAACACAAACTGTGCCCTCATCTTTCTTTCTGCGTCTCACGTGATGCTTTGCTGTAGATACTGCCACAGAAAAAACTACTGTTTGCTGTTTGGTACTGATCTCTGAATCTCATGCTTGTTTTATTTGAGCCTCAGGGCATATTGAACCACTGCACAGTTTGAAGTCGAAATAGAGAGAGATGAAGAGGCTTTCGTAATGTTGACCATATTCACTAATCAATATCCATTTATGCTTTTGTTATTAGTGTGTCTGGCTGAAGTATCTCCTGCCGTGACCCATTCTTTCCTTTTCTCTGTCTCTGTTCCTTCCTTCGTTCTCCCTTGCTGCTACTTCCTGCCCCTATACTTTACTCATGCAATACAGAGGGTCTGTACCAGCTGGGAGGCCCACGCTGTGCCCCTCAGAGCAGCATTGAAGGAGTGGACGATACAGAGGTAGGACCATTACAAAACAGCCTCTGTTCACTAGTAGCCAATAACATGGAGGAGTACTCATCCCTTTGACAAAATGTTGCCCTTATTTTTTCTCTCCCTTTCACTCCCTTGTTTAACGTGTCCCTTTTCAACACCCTTGCAGAGAAAATGTAAGACCCATGTGCTAATACTTGTGGTGCATGGGGGAAACATCTTGGACACAGCGGGCGGAGATCCCAGCACAAAAGCTGGCGATGTGGCCACGTTGGCCTCGGTGCTCGACAAGGTTACGCGGGCGCATTTCCAAGCTGCTGCCGAACACGTGATGATCAAGCTGGTGCCATGTCCAGCTGTATGTGCTGAAGCCTTCTCTCTGGTGTCCAAGTAAGTGCTGATGCTCAACCACACGCCCTCATGTACTCTTGACATTTTAAAGTGTTGCATACCTGGATAAAATCCAGATGATTTAATTCTCTTTCATTCATATTTAGCCACACAGGTGACAGATCAATGGCAAAACATAACTGGAGAAGGGCACAGAGGCATGGTGAATAGTTTGATAAATGTGAAAATGGTGTGAATCATGTGCTGTGGCCTTCACCGCTTCCAGATCTACCGAAAATTAAAGACTGAGGAAAAGAAATATGCCAAAATATTAGCTGAAGTCAAGTATCAAATGAGGAGATATTTTTGGAAAGAGTGATGTTCGCCCGTGCAGCGAATTTCACAACTGAATGAGAATAAAAGCTGTATTTCACGCTCCGTGTGACCCAGACCTTGCTAAGGCACTTTTAAGAACTCCTAGGGTTATCCCTTTCAGTGAACCAGAATTTTTCAGTTGCCAGTACAATTTCTTGTCGGAAATTAATTATGTGGAAACACAGCCTTTCACACCTTAAATAGAATAATGTGCCTTCTGCTGCTTGGATGGGAGGACAACATGAACTAGTGGCCTCAGGCAGCTCTGATAAACACCTTAGTGTGATATGAAGTATCTAAAATGATATGAAGTTAAGTAGAATGGATGAACACTGTGGGAAAAGTGACACCAGATTTTATAATCAGCTATTTTGTTGATTCTGTCGCTGCAGACGGTAAATCAATGACAACTCTGTAAAAGGTCCTGTGCTTGTCAGTGCATTAGGCATTAGAATGAGTTGGAACACCTTTAAAATTTACATTTCAAAAGTAAAATTAGTATAAATATTAGCAGATAGTCAGTTTATTTAGTTTTGTCTTCTTGCTTCACCCACAAGTTTCCTGAACAGCTGATATTGGGTCACATGTTTAATATCACTACACACCCATACTCTAGTGAATAAATGAAAGATGTCACTGACACACTAATAAACCAAAGTTCCTCATATCAATGATATGTAACTTGAAGAAAAGTTAATGCTAATGCATTAACTTTCTTTCTTTCACATGCGTAAACATTTGGATGGACTAACATGGCTTACTCTCACAACCTGCCCAAGTTTACACACGGGAGTTAAGTGTGTTGGAGAGACTTAGGAGTCTGTGATTTCACTTGTCAGCTGATGAATAAGTCAATGATTATGAGGCATGACGCTGAGCAGTTTCATGCTGTCACATTGTAATTTGTTGCCCGTAGTAAGCTGCATTCCAGCTCGGTTCTTTAGACAAGGAAAACAAAGGGAAAAAGCCAAGTGCTCCATAAGGTAATTGTCCTGTTTCTGTAGCTTTTTATCTTAATTTCTTCCTATTTTGATTGAAAGCTTCAATTACAATGAAGGAGCAATTAATTCTGTATTTTTGAAGAAGATGCTTGAAGAATGTGCATGTCTGCAGGAATTAATGCCCAGTGCTGCTCAGGTGGTGAAGGTCAGCCACACTTCTGTCTTAATTAGCATGCTCAGGGCATTTCTCAGGCCCCATAAGCATGTGATCATGTGGAAAATATAACCCCTAAACTTTTTAAATGTTGCTTCTAATTGTTAAAGCTCCCCTTTAATAGTAGAGGTGTCTTCTTAGTGGATAAAATTAATGCTTAAATGACTTCATACAGTTTCCTCTAAGGCCTCTCCAAGCAATGATCTGTTTGGTTAATTAGCTACTGTTACTTTGCATTCAGGTTTCAGTTTCAAGGGGGCGGGGTTAATTGTAGACATTGTTATATTAACATGGTAATGAACAGACGTTAGCAGATGACTCTTTCTTTATGATATATTAAACATCTCCATAAACACTCACAGCTCTTATTCCTTGCAATTGAAATTGATGGAAAGCTGCTGGATGGTGTTTAGGAGAAACACGTGGCAAAAGCATGACTTTCTCCTTCCTTAGTCTGAACTGCTGTCCTTTCAGACGGCTGCTTAAGCGTGACTAATAATTTCATTTTACATTTAATGACACATGTCCCAGTGGTCAACAGTTTTGCCTCTGACAGCGTCACTTTGTTTTCACGGCTCCCCAATTATATGCCGAGGATATTTTTTGTTTGACTTGTCACTAATCACCGTGGCTGAAAGAATGTGTTTAGCAGTCAAGTCGAGGCTTCTGTTTGGCGTTGTGATTGATGCTAGCTGGAGAGAGGTACAGACTGGAAGCAAGACAAGTGTAAAGAGATTTGAGTTGTGTAGCTGCTCAGCAGCTTGACGTCTGCTTTGCTTTCACCACATCCAGAGATAAAATATTCATGACAACAGTTTCCCATTGCAGTAGAGCGGAGCTGAGTTATATGGCTGCGTGTCTCGATTGTCTGTAATTGAAAGCGTGTGGACACACAGGCACGCATGAAATTTTGCTTAAAAAACAATTCTTATTGCAACAGTGTGTCAACCAAAGCTGCTTTGCTGGGAGATAAATAAATAATTAAATAAAATTAAGAGATGGAGAAATGTATAACTAAAGAAACAATTTACGCACACATACCAATACATTTAGGATTATTCATGTGTCATACATTTATTCTCTGTTATTTTATTGTTTACTTGCTCCATTCAGATGCATCATCTGAAGAACCGGTGATAGAGCTCTCTAAAGATCTAGAAAAATAACAGTAAAATCCGATGCTGCTGCTGCAAAATAATACAAGATAGTAATACTCCTAAAAAATCATTAACCTTTTGATTAGATCATTACAAGTGCAGGTGAAATAAATAGTTATTATTCTTATTTTCTGCTCGGTGTGCTGCTGTTTATTTCTAACATGAGAGATTAAGACTGCAGACACACAAACATTAAAGGTTACTCAGTGTGTTCATTTCCAACTTTGTCTCATTGCCAAATACAGGAGATGTGAAAATCTTTAGTTTGCTGTCAGATCAAAGTAGAATTTATCCTGTTGATCCAACAGCTTGCAAATTAGGAAGGAGTATTAGTGCCACATTAAGAAAAATGAATGTTTTGAGAATAAATGTGAAGTTTCAAGATTAAAATCGTAATTCAGTTTTGAGAAAAAAGTCAAAATATGGAGATTACAGTTGTTGTTTCAAGACAAACTGCCACGGTTGCTGGACCCTCTGAGTTAGTGAAATCGTACTTCAGAATCGGTTTTGAAAAGATGCTTGTGGTCAGGCAGAAAAACACAAATGCAGACGAGTGGATTATCACAAAAGGGAATGGCTTGAAATGGACAGGTGAAAGGTTATCAATGGTGATATCCTGATGCAATACAGAGGATGTATGTCTTATCACAAGGTGGCTGATCAGTTTGCTTCACCAACTCATTTAAACAAGGTTTTGTAAAGGGTAGAGCAGCCATGGCAGTTTGTTGTGAAACAGTAACGGCAATCTTCACATCTCAAAATACATTTTCGACTTTAATCTTGAAACTTTAAATTTATTCTCAAAATGATCAACAATATTCTTTTCCCCTAATGTGCCCCTAATATTCCGTTGCAGCAAATGTTTTTGTAGTTTCTAATTTGTGCTCTAGCTGCTTTTCCAGCAGTATGAAAAAAGAAGGCTCAGCAGCAGATTTAAAAAGACAAACATAAAAATGTATCCACTTACTGGGTCACCAGCTGAATACATGGAAATTCCAGAGACAATGTAAAACACACAGTATGTGCTGCTGAAACTGAAGCAGGGAATCTATGTCACACTTTATTTATTGTGAATCCTACTGTTAATAAACTAAAAAAAAGGTTCCAGCCCATTTCAAACAGAAACTCTGAACATCACCTGTTTTGGACTAGGTTATGTATTGAGTTACCATGGTGATCCAGCCTGGTGAAACTCTGGCTTTTAAGGTCTACATGGCTCACTAAGCCAGTGATCTTGCTTTGTAGTACACCCTGCTGCTCTCGCTGTCATGGGGAGAGAAGACACTGAGAAACTACACTTTTTGCGTCAAAGTTCATGTATTTGTATAGTGAGAAAAGATTAGCTTTTCTTCTTTATTCGTCAGTACCTGTAGTACCTTACAGGATTAGATTGGACAAATATATTGCTATTGATATAAATAATAATAGTAATTCCCTACTTTTATGTACATTTCAATTTATTCATTCATTCACTGTTAAACTGTTTTATAGGTTAACCTGTTTTTACCATAACAGATGTCAGTATGACTAATACACACTAAATGCTAAATACATATTGTAGCTGACAAAAAACAACTTGTCAGTCCTTTAATGTAGGCAAACCAGATACTGAAACATACATCTGCAGTGGTTTATCTGAATCTTTTTTACAATTGCCTGATAGCAGTTTGAAGTTGATATGTATTTCTGATCTGCAGTGAAAATATATAAAACTTTATTTTGGGCAGATGGCTCTAGGTCTTTAATATACTCTCACAATATGTGTGGTCAGTAGGGATTAATGGATGCCTACAAACATGAAGGCACAGCACTCAGTCAACTGCACTTTTGTCATTTAACAGTGTTTTCTCTAATGATAGTGCTGAACTTGTGGGTGTTTGGAGTCTCATTTATTTGGATGCCAATATAAACATCTTAGGAATAAGCTACACAGAAAGGAATTACTGCAGTGTGGGTAATTTGTTCTCATTCTGGGTAACAGCTTGGCTGAAAATCACACCCCGGAGTGGAGGTGGCAAAACCTCTTAGCGCCTCAAAGAGAAACTTTCACATAAACAAACAAACCTTGGACTCCGTTTGGTAGTTCCTTGTGTACCATATAAGGTTCCCATAGAGAATAAACATGTTTTTCAGTTTTCTTGTTGCTGTGTGTACAAGAGCTACTGTGTCCCACAAGGCTCAGAGCAGTTATTATTAGCTCCACTGTACTAATGAACATACCTGGGAGTGCTGACGAGGAGCAGAGCGTCACAGAAACACATGCGTAATCCATAAACACAGTTGGAAAAAAAACATCCCACACGGAACGAGTTGGGAAAGCTCTCTGAACAGCACCATGGCACATCCAATTAACAGCAGCAACACAAATGCTCC